TCGCATTGATGTGCCACCCTGGATGAGCTGCACTACCTGAGCCACTTGTGTGGGTTGTAGACTCCGTCTCATGCTACCACTAGAGTGAAAGCACCGCCAGCATTCAAAAGTGACCAAAACATCAGCCAGGAAGCATAGGAACTGAGAAGTGGTCTGTGGTCACCACCTGCAAAACCAGTCCTTTATTGGGGGTGTCTTGCTAATTGCCTATAATTTCCACCTGTTGTCTATTCCATTTCCACAACAGCATGTGAAATTTATTGTCAATCACTGTTGCTTCCTAAGTGGACAGTTTGATTTCACAGAAGTGTGATTGACTTGGAGTTACATTGTGTTGTTTAAGTGTTCCCTTTTATTTTTTTGAGCAGTGTATATACAGCTGTTCTGAAAGGCCCCAGAGTCTGCAACACCCCTAAGCAAGGGGCACCACCAAGCAAGCGGCACCATGAAGACCAAGGAGCTCTCCAAACAGGTCAGGGACAAAGTTGTGGAGAAGTACAGATCAGGGTTGGGTTATAAAAAAATATCTGAAACTTTGAACATCCCACGGAGCACCATTAAATCCATTATAAAAAAATTGAAAGAATATGGCACCACAACAAACCTGCCAAGAGAGGGCCGCCCACCAAAACTCACGGAGCAGGCAAGGAGGGCATTAATCAGAGAGGCAACAAAGAGACCAAAGATAACCATGAAGGAGCTGCAAAGCTCCACAGTGTAGATTGGAGTATCTGTCCATAGGACAACTTTAAGCCATACACTCCACAGAGCTGGGCTTTACGGAAGAGTGGCCAGAAAAAAGCCATTGCTTAAAGAAAAAACTAAGCAAACACGTTTGGTGTTTGCCAAAAGCCATGTGGGAGACTCCTCAAACATATGGAAGAAGGTACTCTGGTCAGATGAGACTAAAATTGACTCAATATTTGGCAATCAAGGAAAACGCTATGTCTGGCACAAACCCAACACCTCTCATCACCCTGAGAACACCATCCCCATGTTTTTCATCATCAGGGACTGGGAAACTGGTCAGAATTTGAAGGATAGCGCTAAATACAGGACAATTCTTGAGGGGAAACATGTTTCAGTCTTCCAGAGATTTGAGACTGGGATGGAGGTTCACCTTCCAGCAGGACAATGACCCTAAGCATACTGCTAAAGCAACACTCAAGTGGTTTAAGGGGAAACATTTAAATGTCTTGGAATGGCCTAGTCAAAGCCCAGACCTCAATCTAATTGAGAATCTGTGGTATGACTTAAAGATTGCTGTACACCAGCAGAACCCATCCAACTTGAATGAGCTGGAGCAGGTTTTGCCTTGAAGAATGGGCAAAAATCCCAGTGGCTAGATGTGCCAAGCTTATAGAGACATACTCCAAGAGACTTGCAGCTGCAATTGCTGCAAAAGGTGGCTCTACAAAGTATTGATTTTGGGGGGAATGAATAGTTATGCATGCTCAAGTTCTGTTTTTTTTGTCTTATTTCTTGTTTGTTTAACCAAAAAAAGTATTTTGCATCTTCAAAGTGGTAGGCATGTTGTGTAAATCAAATGATACAAATCCCCCAAAAATCCATTTTAATTCCAGGTTCTAAGGCAACAAAAAAAATGCCAAGGGGGTGTGAATACTTTCTTAAGCCAATGTATGTGAGAATGCTGTTCATTGACTACAGTTTAGCATTCAACACTATTGTTCCCTCCAAGCTTGACACCAAGCTCATAGCCATGTGTCTGGACACCACCCTCTGCAAATGGATCCTGGACTTCCTGACGGGCAGACCACAGGCTGTGAGGATTGGTAAACGGGAAAGACCACACCACCTCCACACTGTCTCTTAACACAGGGGGCCCCCCAGTGGTGTGTCCTCAGTCATCTGCTGTTCTCCCTGTTCACACAAGACTGCGTGGCTTTGCACGACACCAACTTCATCAAGTTTGCTGACAACACCACGGTTGTAGGCCTGATAACCAACAACGACGAGTCAGATTATAGGGAGGAGGTAAGTGAACTGGTATTGTAGTGTCATGATGACAACCTCTCCCTCAACGTCAGCAAAACAAAGGAGTTGCTGTTGACTTCAGGAAGCAGAGGAGGGAACATGCCCCGATCCACATCAACGTGACTGCAGTAGAGAGTGTCACGAGTTTTAACTTCCTCTGCATCCACATCACTGAGGACTTGTCATGGACCAACACCACCACCAGTCTTGTCAAGAGGGCGCAACAGCGTATCTACTTCCTAAGGTGGCTGAAGGAATTCGGCATGCCGCACTGGGTCCTCTCCATATACTACCGCTGCACCATCGAGAGCGTCCTGACCGGTTGCATCACGGCCTGGTACGGGAATTGTTCCGTCCACGACCGCAAAGCCCTCCAGCAGGGGATGAAGACAGCCCAGTACATCACTGGGGCCGGGTTCCCACCCATTCAGGACATTTACTCGAAACAGTGCCTGAGGAAGGCACGCAGCATCGTCAAGGATCCCACACACCCCAGCCACAAGCTGTTCACTCCCTTACCATCGGGCATACGGTATCGGAGCATGAGGTCTGATAGAAACTCTCTTTGCCTGTCGGTCTCTACAAGCCATCACAGACTGCTGAAGACTTGAACTGGACTGACCATCTGCTCTGATTCTCCGCACCTTAGCAAACATGCACGCACACACACACACATTGTACATTCATGCTACACACACATCACAACTGCTGCTACCGGACTCTTATTATACTGCTCAATTTATACACGTCCCCCCCGTCCCCCTTCCCCAATACGTGTCAATATTGGACTATAAATTGTGCCTTCCTGTATTATTCTGATGCTAAAATGTATCATTCTATTCTACTGCTGTTTACTTTATGTTCTTATTCTTGTCTTATTATTTCTTATTGTTGTTGCATTTTGGAGAAGGAACATTCAAGTAAGCACTTCGTTGGATGATGTATATCATGCTTATCCCATACATATGACTAATAACACTTAAAAACACACACACACACACACACACACACACACACACACACACACACACACACACACACACACACACACACACACACACACACACACACACACACACACACACACAAATCTGGGCAGCAGGTAGCCTAGCGGTTAAAAGCATTGTGCCAGTAACTGAAAGGTTGCTGGTTCAAATCCCTTCGCTGACTAGGTGAAAAATCTGATGTGCCCTCGAGCAAGGCACTTAACCCAAAATGTTCCTGTAAATTGCTCTGGATTAGAGTGTCTGCTAACGGACTAAAATGGAAGTATATTGAACAGATTGTGTACTCTTTTCAATGTGTGGAAAAATAAATATAGTACAGAAGCTCCAACATTACATTGAGAACGCTATTTTTATTGATAGTGACAACTTGCCTTTGTACTTTTATATTATATTTACTGTAGTATGCAATACATTGATGCAGGATACCTATGTTTAACCCGAGTAAAAAAGTTAATGGTGCAATTTTCTGCATTATTATGGTGATAAACATGATTGAATAGGTTATTTCCGGAAGGTTGTATTCTCTATCCTACAAAGGTTGCATAGTCATTTCAAATGTAATGAAAAGTGGAGACGCTAACTTTGGCAATGAAACATTTGAAGAATCAAGATCGAAAGGATATTGGAGCAGACGATTATTATCTATGCATCTTAAACTTTCAAACTGTACGATTATTTCTCACAAGTCCCTTGTGAGAATCCTAATTCCATCCTAGACAGTAATGGCATATTACTTCAATGACTTCCACACCATAACGTTCTCCCCTCAGAATCTATTTCCTAACATTGTATTATCAGTAAAGAGCCTAGGGTCATCATCTCTAGGCTCTTTTACCACCCTGTAAAGGGGTTCCCGTGAATTTGACAGTAGCTCGTGGCAAGTATTTATTTATTACAGTATCAAAGCAAGTACCGTGTAATGACACACAGTGCAACACCGTAAAATTGACTGTATTATACTCTAAAAAAGTAAATGCTCCTGTAATTGGAATGGATGGATGAAATTCGTTGAGAGGAGGGGTTTGTATTTCATAGTATTTTACTATAATTACAAGGGATTGGTGCAAGCAAGGTAAGGATTTGGTTGCTAGGTAAAGTGTTTACAAAGATGACACCATATTAATGAATATTTTGTGTTTTATATCACTTGCACTTCTAGAGGCCTTAAAGGTCCTGAACAGTCATTCTGATTCCAATGTAAAATAGCATTTTGAGTGACTAAAATATCACCTATAATATTTTTGGCGGATAGAAATGCTTTTCATTTTACAAAAAGCACTTTTTCTCTCATGGCTAACTACAAGGAAGTTTGAAAAGACAGGCTGATTGGGGAGGAGATTATAGTCATGAGCTAGCCTTGATTGATAGTTATTTGAAACACTTATGTCAAGCAACTTGGATGCAGTGAGCAGTGTTGCCGTAAAATCATCTCAAGCAAATGCGGTGATGTCACCCTATCCCCTTAATAATCGGGCATCCTGAATCCAAGTGTTTGACATGGGGGAGGGGACCAGTAACTTTATGATCGAACTTTATCAATGTAGAAGCAACAGTCATTTTTCATACTTTGGTCATTTTACTTCGATCTGGTTTCATCCAAAAGGTCAAAAAAAATTTTTTTTCCTAAATTCATTACAAGTTAAACTCTAAATAATGAACAATTCAAACAATAAGTAATCTATCCAACTTAAGTTAATCAAATCAAAACAAAAACAAACAGCAACAAAAAAACAAAAAAATGAATGCATTAAAATAAGAAAAATGGTAACAATCATCAGTCCATCACTTAGTCAGTAATGGTTGGTCTGGTGGGGTGGTTGAGATTGTGTTTGTGTTTTTGTTGGGAAAGGGGTGGAGTCTGGGTTGGAAGTTGCTGGATGGAGGTGGCAGTTGCTGGATGGAGGTGGCAGTTGTGGTTGGTTGGTGCTGTGTCCAGGGTTGGTGTTGGGCTAGGACCGGGAAAAACCTGGGTTGGTGTTGGTACCAGGGCTGGAAATCATGCTGGTACCTGGGCTGGAAAAGCAGGGGTTGGTGCTGGGTCTGGTGCTGGGACTGTGGGCCTGGGAGACACAGGAACCGGGAACAGGGGATGGGGCTGGTGCTGGGTTGGGATCTGTAGAGGGGAGGAAGGACAACCTGAGGAGGAAGCAGACACACAAGGGAGCCCTAGACCCAGAGGTCAATAATGGTGGTACTTCCCTGTGGCCTGCTCTCTTCTGGTGAAGGTGTGATATTTGGTCCATCCTCTGAGCCTCATCTGTGGATTGGTGCTGGGACTGGTGCTGACTCTACAGAGGGGAGGAAGGACAACCATCGGCCTGGGATGGTGTTGGTGGAGGGGGAGCGATGCAGCGGCAAGGCTGGATGCTGGAGGCTGGAAGACAGAGGGAGCAAACAGGGCCTAGACCCACCTGGCCATGGCGCACTCACAAACAGATGGTGGGTGTGTTCAGTACGAGTGCCTCCATGGTGGAAGTTCTCTGTACATACTTTGTGCCGTCTATAGGTGGATTCCCTAGTGGGGAGGCAACCATGAACAGCCATCTGAGGAAAGTCATTCTGTTTGGAGTGTGTTGTCAGGGTCATGATGATGGGCTATTGGGGGGGTCCAGGTCTGATCATTTCATTACAGATTTGGATGAAGGCCTCAGCAGGTTGTTTGTGTTGGGTGGTTCTTGGCTGTTCAAAGGTCTTGACATGCCTCCCCACTGACTACCTGGTGGCAACCTATACTGTCTTGGTGGTAGACTGGGGGATGCTGGGAAGGGTGAAGGCGGTTCGGAGGGTCTGGGGGGTCTGGACTGAGGCTGGCTGGCTTGCTGCTGTGTCGGGATCAAGGGTGGGGCCTAAGGGGGTGGATCTGGGTCGCTAAGGAGCATGGGGGAGGAGTCAGGGGCAGTAAGGGGGTATGGTAGGGGGGATCAAGGGCAGTTAGGGGTGGGAGTGGAGAATCAGTGACAGTAAGGGGAAGGGAGGAGTGATCAGAGGAAGTAATGGACTGTATGGCCTCTCTCGAAAACGGCTCCCCTTTGACCAGGGGTTTGGAGGGGGTGGAGGTAGCAATAAAGTTTATTTGTGGGGAGGGCTAAGGTGGAGGGGCCGCCAAGGGGTGGGGGCTGTTTCTGGGACGTCTTTGGTGATGACGGGTGGGGACTGTTTCTGAGACATCTTGGGTGGTGGGTTGGGTGGTGCCTGTGAAAAGATCTGGGTCTTTGTTGTTGTTGTCTGGTGGAGTGGGGTTAGTGGGTTTGGGATTTGGGTTAGTGGGGTTGGTAGCGTGTGCCCTTGCCCTGCCGGCTTAGGAACTGGGACAGTATGTGTATATATGTGTGTATATATATATGTGTATCTATATATATGTATATATATATATGTATATATGTGTGTGTGTGTGTGTGTGTGTGTGTGTATGTATAGATACAGTGGGGAGAACAAGTATTTGATACACTGCCGATTTTGCAGGTTTTCCTACTTACAAAGCATGTAGAGGTCTTTAATTTTTATCATAGGTACACTTCAACTGTGAGAGACGGAATCTAAAACAAAAATACAGAAAATCACATTGTATGATTTTAAAGTAATTAATTTGCATTTTATTGCATGACATAAGTATTTGATCACCTTTCAACCAGTAAGAATTCCGGCTCTCACAGACCTGTTAGTTTTTCTTTAAGAAGCCCTCCTGTTCTCCACTCATTACCTGTATTAACTGCACCTGTTTGAACTCGTTACCTGTATAAAAGACACCTGTCCACACACTCAATCAAAGACTCTAACCTATCCACAATGGCCAAGACCAGAGAGCTGTGTAAGGACATCAGGGATAAAATTGTAGACCTGCACAAGGCTGGGATGGGCTACAGGACAATAGGCAAGCAGCTTGGTGAGAAGGCAACAACTGTTGGCGCAATAATTAGGAAATGGAAGAAGTTCAAGATGACGGTCAATCACCCTCAGTCTGGGGCTCCATGCAAGATCTCACCTCGTGGGGCATCAATGATCATGAGGAAGGTGAGGGATCAGCCCAGAACTACACGGAAGGACCTGGTCAATGACCTGAAGGGGGCTGGGACAACAGTCTCAAAGAAAACCATTAGTAACACACTACGCCGTCATGGATTAAAATCCTGCAGCGCACGCAAGTTCCCACTGCTCAAGCCAGCGCATGTCCAGGCCCATCTGAAGTTTGCCAATGACCATCTGGATGATCCAGAGGGGGAATGGGAGAAGGTCATGTGGTCTGATGAGACAAAAATATAGCTTTTTGGTCTAAACTCCACTTGCCGTGTTTGGAGGAAGAAGAAGGATGAGTACAACCTCAAGAACACCATCCCAACCGTGAACAATGTAGGTGGAAACATCATTCTTTGGGGATGCTTTTCTGCAAAGGTGACAGGACGACTGCACCATATTGAGGGGAGGATGGATGGGGCCATGTATCGCGAGACCTTGGCCAACAACCTCCTTCCCTCAGTAAGAGAATTGAAGATGGGTCGTGGCTGGGTCTTCCAGCATGACAACGACCCAAAACACACGGCCAAGGCAACAAAGGAGTGGCTCAAGAAGAAGCACATTAAGGTCCTGGAGTGGCCTAGCCAGTCAGCCTCGAAACCTTTATGACTTGGAGAAGATCTGCAAAGAGGAGTGGGACAAAACCCTCCTGAGATGTGTGCAAACCTGGTGGCCAACTACAAGAAACGTCTGACCTCTGTGATTGCCAGCAAGGGTTTTGCCACCAAGTACTAAGTCATGTTTTGCAGAGGGGTCAAATACTTATTTCCCTCATAAAAATGCAAATCAATTTATAACATTTTTGACATGCGTTTTTCTGGATTTTTTTGTTGTTATTCTGTCTCTCACTGTTCAAATAAACCTACCATTAAAATTAAAGACTGATCATGTCTTTGTCAGTGGGCAAACATACAAAATCAGCAGGGGATCAAATACTTTTTTCCCTCACTGTAGATGCAAACCTGATAACTGAAATGTGTACACTTTCAGAGTTAGTTATTTAGTCATACCATCCTCAATGACATCACAAAATAATAAATAATATGACATGATATTCTTTAGATCCCCACCAACCATTCCAAACACTTAGACGTCAGAAATAATGTTCCAATGTCCTATCTTTTAGAAATACATTAATTATTTCCCCGCACACAACATTTTCCCACAATGCACCATAATTTGCAGTAAAATGTTTCAGAGTAATTTACAGTGCAGTTATGTTTCTTCCATCGTCACTTGCATGTGTTATTTTAGAAATAACACATGCATGTCAAAAATCCAAAAAGTGTCTCCAAACAGTACAATATTAACACAGGTATTCTTCTTCCCCTGTCCAGGAATCATCAAGACTGCATAGTCATACAATACATTGGTAGCATTGCTATTCTGAATTTTTCTCCCCTTGTCCAGGATGGCCTTAGTACTGTACATTATGGCCTTAGCTGTATAGTACAGTACTAACATTGTTATTTATACATTACACTGAAAAAAATAAAGTGGTTGTTCTTCAGCTCTTAAGGTTTCTTGGATAACTCTTACCTGATAAAGAACCTTTTTAGTTAAGTGTGGGGTTCTTGGCAGGGTGGCATCTATGGTTCTTCAGAATTCTAAAATGTTTTTCAAATGTATGGAACCCCCTGCAGATGTGTCTCTTTCATAGCACACCGTAAATTGTCCAGTGTTAACTACTGTTGATTTTTCAGTAACATTTATTGTGTTGATTCAAGAGTTAACGCTGTAAAGAGTTAAATTAACACTCAGTGGTGTAAATGGAACCCCAGTGTTGGGGTTAATAACCAGAGTTTAACCAAAACCATGGCCATCATTATCATATTACCCAGTATTCTCTACTGTAGGTTGATTTTTACAATTGTTTGTTTCAAAATCGACACTGAACAAAAATATAAACGCAACATGTAAAGTGTTGGTCCCATGTTTCATGTGCACAAATTTGTTTACATCCCTGTTAGTAATCCATCCACCTGACAGGTCTGGCATATCAAAAAGCTGATTAAACAGCATGATCATTACACAGGTGCACCTTGTACTGGGGACAGTAAAAGGCCACTCTAAAATGTGCAATTTTGTCAAAAAACACAATACCACAGTTTTGAGGGAGCATACAATTGGCATGCTGACTGCAGGAATGTCCACCAGAGCTGTCGCCAGAGAATTTAATGTTCATTTCTCTACCATAAGCCACCTCCAATATCATTTTAGAGAATTTGGCATATACGTCCAAATGGCCTCACATCCGCAGACCACGTGTATGGCGTCATGTGGGTGAGAGGTTTGCTGATGTCAACGTTGTGAACAGAGTGCCCCATGGTGGCGCTGGGTTATGTAAGGGCAGGCATAAGCTACGGACAATGAACACAATTTGAATCCACAGAGATACCGTGAGATACCCATTGTTGTGCCATTCATCCGCCGCCATCACCTCATGTTTCAGCATGATAATGCATGGCCCCAAGACGCAAGGATCTGTACACAATTCCTGGAAGCTGTACATGTCCCAGTTCTTCTATGGCCTGCATACTCACCAGACATGTCACCCATTGAGCAGGTTTGGGATGCTCTGAATTGACGTATACAAAAGCATGTTCCAATTCCAGCCAATATCCAAGAACTTCGCACAGCCATTGAAGAGGAGTGGGACAACATTCCACCGGCCACAATCAACAGCCTGATCAACTCTATGCAAAAGAGATGTGCTGCATGAGGTAAATGGTGGTCACACCAGATACTGACTGGTTTTCTGATCCACACCCCTATCTTTTTATTTTAAGGTATCTATGACCAACATACCAATCTGTATACCCAGTCATGTGAAATCCATAGATTAGGGCCTAATTTATTTATTTCAATGGACTGATTTCCTTATATGAACTGTAACTCAGTAAAATTGTATGTTGGGTTTATTTTTGTTCAGTATATATTTTTGCATGTACATTGAATGATTAATTAATATTGTGCTACTCAAATATAAATAACATACATTTTTCTAAACTTATCCAAACTGTAACTTGGACTTATTGCACCCATTACTGAATTGGTTGTTTCAGTTTAGATGTTTAACCCAGGGGTGTCAAACTCATTCTATGGAGTGCCTAGTGTCTGCTGGTTTTTGTTTTTTCCTTTAAATTAAGACATAGACAATCAGGTGAGGGGAGTTCCTTACTAATCAGTGACCTTAATTAATTAAGTCCAAGGGGGGAGCGAAAAACCCGCAGACACTCAGCCCTCCGTGGAATGAGTTTGACACATGGTTTAACCCATTCATGTCCATAACGGAAATTTCTAATTTCCTTTAGTACACTTTTCTCCGAGCTTACTGATGGAAAAAAATTAAAATTAAATGTAATCGGACAAAGCGTTTTCTTTTTCTACAATGTGATTTTTTTATATGGAACTATATTTAGTCTTTCGACACATGGGGTTACAGTTTTTTACACAATTAACTTTGCATTTCATGAATCAAGTCATGTTCAAATGATCAGATCTTAATATTTGTTGTTATATAGATTGTCAGAACCAATAAAGAAATCCACACACACACAATCTTTCACACATACACATCCTGAGTACATTCAGTATAAGCACCATATATATATGAACCTATAAGTATAAGCATATGTTGGATATGTTCCAGGTTGCCTCTGAGAATAACATTGACGTACTGTATACACAGACATGGTGGCTGAGTTCATCAGGAACTGTATAGGGGATGCTGTTCCCACTATGACTATTAAAACCTACCCAAACAAAAACCATGGATAGATGGCAGCATTCGCGCAACCCTGAAAGCGCGAACCACTGCATTTAACCACGGAAAGGTGACTAGGAATATGGTTGAATACAAATAGTGTAGTTATTCCCTCCGTAAGGCAATCAAACAGGCAAAACGTCAGTACAGAGACAAAGTGGAGTCGCAATTTAACTGCTCAGACACGAGACGTACAGTGCTTTGCAAAAGTATTCATCCCCCTTGTCGTTTTTCCTATTTTGTTGCATACAACCTGTAATTTAAATAGATTTATATTTGGATTTCATGTAATGGACAAACACAAAATAGTCCAAATTGGTGAAGTGAAATAACTTGTTGTTTCAAAACATAAAAAAAAACAAATAACGGAAAAGTGGTGCGTGCATATGTATTCACCCCCTTTGCTACGAAGCCCCTAAATAAGATCTGATGCAACCAATTATCTTCAGAAGTCACATAATTAGTTAAATAAAGTCCACCTGTGTGCAATCTAAGTGTCACATGATCTGTCACATGATCTCAGTATATATACAGCTGTTCTGAAAGGCCCCAGAGTCTGCAACACCACTAAGCAAGGGGCACCACCAAGCAAGCGCCACCATGAAGACCAAAGTCCTCTCCTAATAGGTCAGGGACAAAGTTGTGGAGAAGTACAAATCAGGGTTGGGTTATAAAAAAATATCTGACACTTTGAACATCCCACGGAGCACCATTTAAATCCATTATAAAAAAAATAATATGGCACCACAACAAACCTGCCAAGAGAGGGCCGCCCACCAAAACTCACGGACCAGGCAAGGAAACACGTTTGATGTTCTCCAAAAGGAATGTAGGAGACTCCCCACAAATGGAATAAGGTACTCTGGTCTGATGAGACTAAAATTGAGTTTTTTGGCCATCAAGGAAAACGTTATGTCTGGCGCAAACCCAACTCCTCTCATCACCCCGAGAACACCATCCCCACAGTGAAGCATGGTGGTGGCAGCATCATGGTGTGGGGATGTTTTTCATTGGCAGGGACTGGGAAACTGGTCAGAATTGAAGGAATGATGGAAAGCACTAAATACAGGGAAATCTTTGAGGGGAAACCTTTTTCAGTCTTCCAGAGATTTGAGACTGGGATGGAGGTTCACCTTCCAGCAGGACAATGACCCTAAGCATACTGCTAAAGAAACACTTGAGTGGTTTAAGGGGAAACATTTAAATGTCTTGGAATTGCCTAGTCAAAGCCCAGACCTCAATCCAATTGAGAATCTATGGTATGACTTAAATATTGCTGTACACCAGCAGAACCCATCCAACTTGAAGGAGCTGGAGCAGTTTTGCCTTGAAGAATGGGCAAAAATCCCAGTGGCTAGATGTGCCAAGCTTATCGAGACATACACCAAGAGACTTGCAGCTGTAATTGCTGCAAAAGGTGGCTCTACAAAGTATTGACTTTGGGGGAGTGAATAGTTATGCACGCTCAGGTTTTCTGTTTTTTTTTGTCTTATTTCTTGTTTGTTTCACAAAAAATGTTTACATACTGCTTTACTCATTTCATATGTATATACTGTACTCTACTGTATTTTAGTCAATGCCACTCCGACATTGCTAGTCATAATATTTATATATTTCTTAATTCCATTATTTTACTTTTAGATTTGGGTGTATTGTTGTGAATTGTTTGACACTACTGCACTGTTGGAGCTAGGAACACAAGCATTTAGCTACACCCACAATAACATCTGCTAAATATGTGTATGTGACCAATAAAATGTGATTTGATTTATGTACAGCAAATCTAATATGTCAATGGCAAGTGAGGCCTGCTACAGCACTCTCCATCTTTCTCTCCATCTCTCACAAGCACACGTGTGTACACACATACCACAGATATCAATAAAACCTGCGTGTGTCTATGGTGTGTTTGTACACATGTAGTACTAAACATAGTACGATGCAAATGGCTGCAGTTAACAAACAACAACCAGTTGAATCATATATTTGGCATATTTGAGCTTAGAACAAGTCAAATAACAACACTATATGCCATTAAACAATTTAATTCTGGAATGAATTTCAAAATATATACAGTACCAGTCAAAAGTTTGTACACCTACTCATTCCAGGGTTTTTCTATATTTTTACTATTTTCTACATTGGAGAATAATAGTGAAGACATCACAACTATGAAATTACACGTATATCGAATCATGTAGTAACCAAAAAAGTGTTAAACAAATCAAAATATATTTTATATTTGACATTCTTCAAAGTAGCCACCCTTTGCCTTGATGACAGCTTTGCACACTCTTGGCATTCTCTCAACCAGCTTCATGAGGTAGTCACCTGGAATGCATTTCAATTAACAGGTGAGCCTTGTTAAAAGTTAATTTGTGGAATTTCTTTCCTTCTTAATACATTTGAGCCAATCAGTTGTGTTGTGACAAGGTAGGGGTGGTATACAGAAGATAGCCCTATTTGGTAATAAAAGAAAAAATCCATATTATGGCAAGAACAGCTCAAATAAGCAAAGAGAAACGACAGTCCATCATTACTTTAAGACATGAAGGTCAGTCAATGCGGAACATTTCAAGAGGTTTTAAAGTTTCTTCAAGTGCAGTCGCAAAAACCATCAAGCACAATGATGAAACTGGCTCTCATGAAGACCGCCACAGGAATGGAAGACCCAGAGTTACCTCTGCTGCAGAGGATAAGTTCATTAGAGTTACCAGCCTCAGAAATTGCAGCCCAAATAAATGCTTCACAGAGTTCAAGTAAGAGACACATCTCAACATCAACTGTTCAGAGGAGACTGCATGAATCAGGCCTTCACGGTCGAATTGCTAAAAAGAAACCACTACTAAAGGACACCAATAAGAAGAAGATACTTGCTTGGGCTAACAAACATGATCATTGGACATTAGACTGGTGGAAATCTGTCCTTTGGTCTGATGAGTCCAGATTTGAGATTTTTGGTGCCAACCACCGTGTCTTTAAGACACAGAGTAGGTGAATGGATGATCTCCGCATGTATGGTTCCCACCGTGAAGCATGGAGGAAGAGGTTTGATATTGTGGGGGTGCTTTGCTGGTGACACTGTCTGTGATTTATTTAGAATTCAAGGCACACTTAACCAACATGGCTACCACAGCATTCTGCAGCGACATGCCATCCCATCTGGTTTGCGCTTAGTGGGACTATCATTTGTTTTTCAACAGGACAATGACCCAACACACCTCCAGGCTGTGTAAGGGCTATTTGACTAAGAAGGAGAGTGATGGAGTGCTGCATCAGATGACCTGGCCTCCACAATCCCCTGACCTTAACCCAATTGAGATGGCAAGCAGCCAACAAGTGCTCAGCATATGTGGGAACTCCTTCAAGACTGTTGGAAAAGCATTCCAGGTGAAGCTGGTTGAGAGAATGCCAAGAGTGTGCAAAGCTGTCATCAAGGCAAAGGGTGGCTATTTGAAGAATCTCAAATATAAAATATATTTTGATTTGTTTAACACTTTTTTGGTTACTACCTGATCCCATATGTGTTATTTCATAGTTTTGATGTCTTCACTATTATTCTAAAATGTAGAAAATAGTAAAAAAATAAAGAAAAACCCTGGAATGAGTAGGTGTCCAAACTTTTGACTTGTACTGTATGTTGAAATACCATTTTGAGATCATTTTAAACAATCTTAAAATGTCCAATGTGGTGTCTCTAGACACTTGTACTATTTGACACCAAATTTCATTCACACCAAACCAAATTTGTTCAATGGCGCATTTTGATATTGTACTAAATATAGTACAAGGATGTGAATGGGTTACGGTATCTTAGTCTTCCCAACCCTGGAAGTCATTCTGAATGCTGATTGCGGGTGAATAAAAATTCAAAATGATGGATATCCCCATTCTGGCTGGATTCCAATAGAAATTATACATCACTTTGCAAGCCAGCATAATGTGACTTGCAGGCCTGATGAGGCCTGTAAACTATGAGTTTCAGCCCACTGTATTAGGGTAAAACTAGGCTCTCAAAAGAAGGCCTCATGAAATATATTGTCATTTAGTAGACACTCATATCTAGAGCAACTTACAGTAGTGAGTGCATACATTCTCATACTGGTCCCCCGTGGGAATCAAACCCACAACCCTGGCGTTGGAAGCTCCATGCTCTACCAACTGAGCCACACAGGTCTTGTATTGTCTTAAATAATTACATTTAAAATGACAACATATGCATCTAGGACCTGACTTGGTGAAGGTCATAGAATACAACAACCATGTCTCCATCACCAGCAAACACAGTCATGGGTAGTACTGCTAACTCTAAAATGCACAATGGCTTAAAACCCTACAGCAAGGCTTTTCAATTCAGATCCTCAAGGGCTGAAACATTTCTGGTTTGGGATTTTTGTGTGGTTTTTCAACGAACCATCCCATTTATGGTTCTTCAGAGACCCTCAAATGGTTCCCCAATGGAATGGCTCTCAAGAACCTTATTTGTTTCCAACTTGCAACTCTATTTTTAAGAGTGTAGTAACATTTGTATTATTCTATTATTTCTATTCTTCTTCCCCTGTCCAGGAGTCATCAGGACTGCCTTAGCCAACATGGACCGGGAGGCGAGGGAACACTATGCTGTAGTCATTCAAGCCAAAGACATGGCAGGATCAGTTGGAGGACTCTCTGGATCCACCACCATCAACATCACCCTCACCGACGTCAACGACAACCCTCCCAAGTTCCCGCAAAGTGAGTACTGTATAGACGCCAGGGCTGTCTTCAGCAGGCAAACGTTGTGGAACGTTCAGAGAGAAATAACAAACATGCCTCTCTGACGGGGAATAAGGAATCACGTCAGTTATATTTTTGGGAATTTCTATCAGCAACGTTTCACACCGTTTACTGAATGTCGCCCAGTTACTCCATAAAAAAGGCTTAACAGTATCTAAGAAATCGACTGTCTATTTCTGCTAAATACTAATTACTTTGTTTAATAAAACAGCAGTGCTTCTCAGATATGTCATGTGACTAGAACAATATCAGTTTGAGAGTGTTTTTAGCAGGCCAATTACAAATGGCGAGTCGAATAAAGAATCATAATACACTCCTCACTCAAATGGATTGAGCTTGATTACAGATATACTAAACATCTTTAATTGACTGTCAGTAGCTCCATCTTTAATAATTAACAGATGTTCAACATACATTAGTTAGATGAGTATAGCATTGAGTAAAACCTTACCAATTACGAATCCTGATTTGTATATATTTTTTATCTATTTTATGTAATAATAATCATATATTGATATGACATTTGATCTCAAAATGTATCTCATCAACTGCCATGTAGGCTGAATAAAGATGTAAGACCACTGAACATCAATAATGTAAAATTATAGTTCAATAATCATCTCTCATTTAGAGTCCAAGTTAAACTCAATGCTATTCAAGGGCCCTCAGACACATTTCAGCTCTAAATGTTGATTCAAGCAATCTGAGGTGATATCAAAAGGCATTTAGTAACAATTCCATGACCATCTGTGAAGTCAATTCAGGGTGACACAGCTAAAATACATTTGGACAATCAGCCACAAATATGGCACCAACTAGTGATGCTAAGCTGTTTCTTAGCCTTTGCCCCAAAAGCCACCCTATTCCCTATTTAGTACACTCTAAGGAATAGGGTGCCATTTGAAATGCAGACAATAATAATAATATGCCATTTAGCAGACGCTTTTATCCAAAGCGACTTACAGTCATGCGTGCATAATTTTTTTTGTGTATGGGTGGTCCCGGGGATCGAACCCTCTACCTTGGCGTTACAAGCGCCGTGCTCTACCAGCTGAGCTACAGAGGACCACAATGTCTGTATTGTTATGTTTATGATCCACAGAAAATTACCAGTTGTACGTCCCTGAGTCGGCCCAGGTGGGCAAGCCAGTTGGGAAGATAAAAGCCAATGACGAGGACCTTGGCGTCAATGCAGCGATCAAATACAGCATCATCAACTCAGAAGGAGCAGCCATGTTCTCCATCGCCACCGACAGAGACACCAGAGAGGGCATCATCAGCCTCAAGAAGGTACACAGAGTGAATTAATGAATAAATAAATTCATTAAAGAATAAATTAATGAATTAACAATGACAGGCACACTAGGGAAGGAATAATCAAACTCAAGAAGGTACATGACAGAGTGAATGAACAAATTAATAAATGAAACAGTGACAGGGACACCAGGAAGGGAATAATCAGCCTCAAGAAGGTACATGACAGAGTTGTGCTTAAGGCACCCTTTTCCAGAAGTGTGTACTTGCACACTCCCCGTCATGGATTTAAAAGCATACGATTGGTGTAAGCATTGGCTGGAGAGAGTTTCCACCATTGTAAAAATCCATGTGACATTTTTTGCAAATGCACACCTTAGGAAAAGTATGATATTGCTGTCTATTCCTGTGTAATAACACTGTTATTATTTTAGTAACTTTTTGGGGGGCCCACGACACCATTTTGATATCTGAAAATTGTCACGACCCGAAGTATTTGATACACTGCCGATTTTGCAGGCTTTCCTACTTACAAAGCATGTAGAGGTCTGTAATTTGTTATCATAGGTACACTTCAACTGTGAGAGACGGAATCTAAAACAAAAATCCAGAAAATCACATTGTATGATTTTTAAGTAATTAATTTGCATTTTATTGCATGACATAAGTATTTTATATATCAGAAAAGCAGAACTTAATATTTGGTACAGAAACCTTTGTTTGCAATTACAGAGATCATACGTTTCCTGTAGGTCTTGACCAGGTTTGCACATACTGCAGCAGGGATTTTGGCCCACTCCTCCATACAGACCTTCTCCAGATCCTTCAGGTTTCGGGGCTGTCGCTGGGCAATACAGACTATCAGCTCCCTCTAAAGACTTTCTATTGGGTTCAGGTCTGGAGACTGGCTAGGCCACTCCAGGACCTTGAGATGCTTCTTATGGAGCCACTCCTTGGTTGCCCTGGCTATGTGTTTCGGGTCATTGTCATGCTGGAAGACCCATCCATGACCCATCTTCAATGCTCTTACTGAGGGAAGGAGGTTGTTGGCCAAGATCTCACGATACATGGCCCCATCCATCCTCCCCTCAATACGGTGCAGTCGTCCTGTCCCCTTTGCAGAAAAACATCCCCAAAGAATTATGTTTCCACCTCCATGCTTCACGGTTGGGATGGTGTTCTTGGGGTTGTACTCATCCTTCTTCTTCCTCCAAACACAGCGAGTGGAGTTTAGACCAAAATGCTCTATTTTTGTCTCATCAGACCACATGACCTTCTCCCATTCCAACTCTGGATCATCCAGATGGTCATTGGAAAACTTCAGACGGGCCTGGACATGGGCTGGCTTGAGCAGGGGGACCTTGCGTGCGCTGCAGGATTGTGTGTGTGTGTTACTAATGGTTTTCTTTGAGACTGTGGTCCCAGCTCTCTTCAGGTCATTGACCAGGTCCTGCCGTGTAGTTCTGGGCTGATCCCTCACCTTCCTCATGATCATTGATGCCCCACGAGGTGAGATCTTGCATGGAGCCCCAGACCGAGGGTGATTGACCGTCATCTTGAACTTCTTCCATTTTCTAATAATTGCGCCAACAGTTGTTGCCTTCTCACCAAGCTGCTTGCCTATGGTCCTGTAGCCCATCCCAGCCTTTAGCAGGTCTACAATTTTATCCTGATGTCCTTACACAGCTCTCTGGTCTTGGCCATTGTGGAGAGGTTGGAGTCTGTTTGATTGAGTGTGTGGACAGGTGTCTTTTATACAGGTAATGAGTTCAAACAGGTGCAGTTAATACAGGTAATGAGTGGAGAACAGGAGGGCTTCTTAAAGAAAAACTAACAGGTCTGTGAGAGCCGGAATTCTTACTGGTTGGTAGGTGATCAAATACTTATGTCATGCAATAAAATGCAAATGAATTACTTAAAAATCATACAATGTGATTTTCTGGATTTTTGTTTTAGATTCCGTCTCTCACAGTTGAAGTAAATTACAGACCTCTACATGCTTTGTAAGTAGGAAAACCTGCAAAAACGGCAGTGTATCAAATACTTGTTCTCCCCACTGTATGTAATTAATAGCCAATGTTTACTTTTTTATTTGGGGCTATGGTAGTCATTTGAAAAATATTAACAGTATTTCTGATTGTTTTGTCAACTCAACATCACGTACTTTTAATGTTGGGCTATGACAGTCAATTGCAAATGAGTCTGACATAATGTATCTTATCTCACCACCACTAATTAGATGGGTGTGCTTGGTGCATGTTGCGTCAGAACTTCTCAAAGACAGGGGGCGTGGTCGACAGTGCGCACCTACCTCATCTCTGCTGTCACATCCAACCTGGATCGATATTTGATTTTAATGCAGACGAGCACGGAATCCAGCTTCATACAGATATGAGCTGGCGAAGGGTACCATGAGTTTTATGGTTCTTTCAAGACAACTGGGAACTCAGAAAAATATGAGGTCAAATCATGACGTCGGTGATCTTCAGGTCGGAGCTCTGGAAAGAGGCCAGAGTTCCCAATTTGGAATTCCGAGTTGGATGACCGTAAAAAATGTAATCCCAGTCGGAGCTCGAGTTACCAGTTGTCTTGAATGCACTGAAGTCGGAAGTCCCTTTGAGTCAGGAACCAAAACTCCTCCTTAGTGACCTGTGAATGCATTCAGTCACATGACAGCTCGATCAGCTGTTCGATTTCGCTTACCGGCATGTCAACTGAGCCAGGATCACAGTCAAACGAATTGGGAAGTAGGTCCCAAAGTACTCTTCCAAGCATTTGAGGTGAGAAGTCATCAGTCGTGTGGGACACTTAATGATGCTGTTTTCTGTCAGAAACATGCACAGCCGCGGGAAGGGGGCATGGTTCACTTTTGAAAGACTCTCTCCAATAAGAATTACTTCCTCTGAATTCACTGATTCGGTCACTCATCTGTAGAATGTTTTTGTATTTCCCCTGCATGTTTGGGTTCAGTTCGTTCAGTTTCCCAAACATGTCTGTTACATAGGCAAGGAGACACATTTTCTTTTCATTACACAGAAAGTCAACCAAGTCTTTTTTTTACATCCATTGTGAATGACAACAGTTCCTCTCTCAATGCAAAAAATCTGTCCAACACTCCCCCTTGATAACCACCAAGCCTTAGTGTGAAATAGAACATTGTCATGCTCTGATCCCATATCTCCTCATACTGTAGTTTTGCAGACAGGTGTGCGTGCAGTGGATATGGTTTGATGCGGTCTCCTGAGTGGTGCAGTTGTCTAAGGCACTGCATCGCAGTGCTAGCTGTGTCACTAGAGATCCTGGTTCGTATCCAGGCTCTGTCGTAGCCGGCTGCGACTGGAAGACCCATGGGGTGGCGCACAATTGGCCCAGTGTCGTCCAGGGTATGGGAGGGAATGGCCGGCAGGGATATAGCTCAGTTGGTAGAGCATGGCGTTTGCAATGCCAGGGTTGTGGGTTAGATTCCCACGGGGGGGGCAGTATGAAAAAAATTAACAAATAATAATGTATGCACTCACTACCTGTAAGTCGCTCTGGATAAGAGCGTCTGCAAAATGTGTAGTTTGCCATTGAAGTTACCTGCTGCAGTATATCTCAGAGTTCTGTGCTCAGCTCTTTTGCCGCCAGTTGGTCTCAGTGTATCATAAAATGTGTCCATATGGCAGAGGGACACTGCACTCTAGTTATGAATGTGAGACCTGCCCGTCGTCCCGCCATAGATGGAGCCCCATCTCTGCAAAAGCCCATCATTCGATCCCATGTAATCTGTTTATCGTCAATATAGCCACGCAGCACACTGAACATCCCCTGTGCCGTTTCATGCTTGGGAATTGTGAGACAGAACAATATGTCCTCGTGAATAGCATCCCCCGACATGCATAGCGAACAAAAGTAAATGCATGGGCATCTCGGCCATTACAGCTAATGTCCATTTGGAGAGCATAATCTGGGGATTTTTTGAGTCGTTCAGTCAGTTTCCTCTTGACTGCTAGCAACAGCATAAGTTCTTAGTTCAAGACTGTTATCTGACAAAGGTATTGACGTGTGTTTCTGTGCCTCTGCCTCCCCACACATTGTTTTCACCATATCAATTACGTCCGGTTAAACCAAAGCCTCTGCAATAGTGTGTGGTTTCATAGTATAGCGGGCCTAGTCATTCACCGTGGGAGTGATTCAAGTGCAACGGTCAAGTGTGGCCTTTTCCCATTATCAAAGGATACTCTCTGGTTGAATTTTTTTAACGGATTTTAATCATTTTCATGTAGATTTTTAAGGTTAACCACATTACAATGATTTTGAGATACAACAACTATTATATTATATATATATACACACACACACACACAGTATCAGTCAAAAGTTTGGACACACCTACTCATTCCAGGGTTTTTCTTTATTTTTACTATTTTCTACCTTGTAGAATAATAGTGAAGACATCAAAACTATGAAATAACACATATGGAATCATGTAGTAACCAAAAAAGTGTTAAACAAATGAAAATATATGTTATATTTGAGATTCTTTAAAGTAGCCACCCTTATTATTATTTTTAAAGGAATTCTCCTGCGGCCCCATTTTCATATTACACGACCCCATGTGGGGTCGCGACCCCTAGTTTGTGAACTGCTGGTGTAGAGACTGTTGTCCTTCTGACAGGTTCTCCCAGCCAAGGAACGCTGTAGTTCTGTCAGAGTCGTCATTGGGTTCTTGGTCACCTCCCTGACCAACGTCCTTTTTGCCCGGTTGCTCAGTTTGGTAGGACGGCCAGCTCTAGGTAGAGTCTGGGTATTTCCATTTCCCAATGATGGAGACGACTGTGCTCTTGGAAACTTGGAGTCACGTCCCGTAGTTTGGGAACAGCTGTATTAACCCTATTAGTCCCGAGACCCCAGCAAAGATTGGCTTTTCATTTATCTGACTTTCATTTATCTGCATGTCCAGCCCTTGTATTTAGCCTCACAATTAAGTGTTTTACCATTTTATTCAGGACAACCAGGGCTACAAGTAGAACAAAAAACTATTTGGCATGAACTGTTCATGTGTTTTATTGAAAAATGTCAATTTTAAAAAAGTTTGCCAAAGCAAAAACCTGTAAAAAAAAATTGCGACAACTTATTTTTTTCATTTCACTTCACCAATTTGGACTATTTTGTGTATGTCCATTACATGAAATCCAAATAAAAATCCATTTAAATTACAGGTTGTAATGCAACAAAATGGAAAAACGCTAAGGGGGATGAATACTTTTGCAAGGCACTGTATGTGAGCTTAGTACAGTATTATTGACAATATGTCCTGGGATTTCCAATGATCTTCTATGTAGAATAACCCCTTACCTTCTAACAACACTTGTGTAGCTTGTGAGCGTCATAGAGCAAATGTTACATGTGCGTGTTCGTGAGTGTCTCAGCATTTCATAGATAGTGTTTAATAGTTTATAGCTCAAACCATTCGGACTCTATTGACGTTTTTATATAAAAGACCCCTTGTGGATCCATTCTTGTCTCACAAACCCTGTTCTAGTTTAGACCCCGTGATTCACACAGACTAATGGTTGGTACCTATGGATACAGAAGAAATAGACTAATCCAATGGTACAACCCAGAAGTCTGTAGACATCTCAAACACACAATGTTTAAAAGGGGCTAGAAGTTTAAAAAGCGCTGGTGTTGCGGTGGGACGCATTGGGTTAACACGTAACATAATACTTCAGTAGGCTACTTGCATTGTAATTACATGGTACACAAGTGGATTATTATTATTATTATTATTATTATTATTATTATTATTATTATTTATTATAAGTGGATGAAGTCTGTTCCTAATCCTGCATGTTTTCCTGGTGCCTTTTTCCTGGACATACAGCCACTGAACTATGAGAGGAAGAAGACCTACACCCTTCACATTGAAGGAGTGAATACCCACGTGGAACCTCGTTTTTCCTACCTTGGTCCTTTCAAAGACACTGCCACCCTAAAGATCACTGTGGGAGATGTGGACGAGCCACCTGTATTCTCTATGGATTATTACATCATGGATGTTTATGAAAACGCTCGTATTGGTACAGAGGTGGGGGCTGTAACAGCCCGGGATCCAGACAGCAAAAACAGTCCTGTCAGGTAAGAGCTTTGAGACAATCTATTACATATGCATTTACATTTACATCATTTAGCAGACGCTCTTATCCAGAGCGACTTACAAATTGGTGCATTCAACTTATGATAGCCAGTGGGACAACCACTTGTTTGTTTGTTTTTTAATGGGGGGGTGGGGGAGGGGTGTGTGTGTTGGGGCGGGGGGGGGGGGGGGGGGGGGGGGGGGGGTAGAAGGATTACTTTATACTATTCCAGGTATTCCTTAAAGAGGTAGGGTTTCAAGTGTCTCCGGAAGGTGGTCAGTGACTCCGCTGTCCTGGCGTCATGGGGGAGCTTGTTTCACCATTGGGGTGCCAGAGCAGCAAATAGCTTTGACTGGGCTGAGCAGGAACTGTACTTCTGTAGAGGTAGGGGAGCTAGCAGGCCAGAGGTGGATGAACGCAGTGCCCTCGTTTGGGTGTAGGGTCTGATCAGAGCCTGAAGGTAAGGAGGTGCTGTTCCCCTCACAGCTCCGTAGGCAAGCACCATGGTCTTGTAGTAGATGTGAGCCTCAACTGGAAGCCAGTGGTGTGTGTGGAGGAGCGGGGTAACATGGGAGAACTTGGGAAGGTCGAACACCAGACGGGCTGCAGCGTTCTGGATAAATTGTAGGGGTTTAATAGCACAGGCAGGGAGCCCAGCCAACAGCGAGTTGCAGTAATCCAGACGGGAGATGACAAGTGCCTGGATTAGGACCTGTGCCACTTTCTGTGTAAGGTAGGGTCATACTCTGCGAATGTTGTAGAGCATGAACCTGCAGGATCGGGTCAACGCTTTGATGTTAGCGGAGAACGACAGGGTCACGCCAAGGTTCTTTGCACTCTGGGAGGAGGACACAATGGAGTTGTCAACCGTGATGGCGAGATCATGGAGCGGGCAGTCCTTCCCCGGGAGGAAGAGCAGCTCCATCTTGCCAAGATTCAGCTTGAGGTGGTGATCCGACATCCACACTGATATGTCTGCCAGACATGCAGAGATGCGATTCGCCACCTGGTTATCAGAAGGGGGAAAGGAGAAAATTAATTGTGTGTCGTCTGCGTAGCAATGATAGGAGAGACCATGTGAGTATATGACAGAGCCAAGTGACTTGGTATATAGAGAGAATAGGAGAGGGCCTAGAACTGAGCCCTGGGGGACACCAGTGATGAGAGCACATGGTGCGGAGACAGATTCTCGCCACGCCACCTGGTAGGAGCGACATGTCAGGTAGGACGCAATCCAAGAGTGAGCAGCGCCGGAGATGCCCAACTCGGAGAGGGTGGACAGGAGGATCTGATGGTTCACAGTATCAAAGGCATAGGTCTAGAAGGATAAGAGCAGAGGAGAGAGAGTTAGCTTTAGCAGTGCGGAGAGCCTCCATGACACAGAGAAGAGCAGTCTCAGTTGAATGACCAGTCTTGAAACCTGACTGGTTTGGATCAAGAAGGTCATTCTGAGAGAGATAGCAGAAGAGTTGGCTAGAGACAGCACGCTCAAGAGTTTTGGAGAGAAAAGAAAGAAGGGATACTGGTCTGTAGTTGTTGACATCGGAGGGATCGAGTGTAGGTTTTTTGAGGAGGGGTGCTCTCTCGCTCTCTTGAAGACGGAAAGGACATGGCCAGCGGTCAAGGATGAGTTGATGAGCGAGGTGAGGCAAGGGAGAAGGTCTCAGGAAATGGTCACTACTTTGTATCCTTTTCTCTCTCGCTCTCCTCCAACACTACTCACTCTGCCCCTACTCAGATGGTAATGTGCCGTCGCAACCTTCACTCTCTCTCTCCCGCTACTCTCTCCTCTTCCATCCTATCATCTCTTCCCTCTGCTAAATCGTTCTCCCTCTGATCTCCTGATTCTGCCTCCTCAACCCTCCTCTCCTCCCTTTCTGCATCTTTTGACTCTCTATGTCCCCTATCCTCCCGGCCGGCTCGGTCCTCCCCTCCTGCTCCGTGGCTTGACGACTCATTGCGAGCTCACAGAAGAGGGCTCCGGGCAGCCGAGCGGAAATGGAGGAAAACTAGACTCAAGCGGGCAGGTTGTTGGGTGGCCGGCCGTCACAAGTCACAAGATTTCATCTGGAGAGAGGGGAGAAAGAAGTCAAAGCATAGGGTAGGGCAGTGTGAGCAGGACCAGCGGTGTCATTTGACTTAGTAAATAAGGATCGGATGTCGTCAACCTTCTTTTCAAAATGGTTGACGAAGTCATCCACAGAGAGGGAGGAGGGAGGGGAGGAGGAGGAGGATTCAGCAGGGAGGAGAAGGTGGCAAAGAGCTTCCTAGGGTTAGAGGCAGAGGCTTGAAATTTAGGTGGTAGAAAGTGGCTTTGGCAGCGGAAACAGAGGAAGAGAATGTAGAGAGGAGGGAGTGAAAAGATGACAGGTCCGCAGGGAGTCTAGTTTTCCTCCATTTCCGCTCGGCTCCCCGGAGCCCTCTTCTGTGAGCTCACAATGAGTCGTCAAGCCACGGAGCAGGAGGGGAGGACCGAGCCGGCCGGGAGGATAGGGGACATAGAGAGTCAAAAGATGCAGAAAAGGAGGAGAGGAGGGTTGAGGAGGCAGAATCAGGAGATCGGAGGGAGAAGGATTTAGCAGAGGGAAGAGATGATAGGATGGAAGAGGAGAGAGTAGCGGGAGAGAGAGAGTGAAGGTTGCGACGGCACATTACCATCTGAGTAGGGGCAGAGTGAGTAGTGTTGGAGGAGAGCGAGAGAGAAAAGGATACAAAGTAGTGGTCGGAGACTTGGAGGGGAGTTGCAGTGAGATTAGTAGAAGAACAGCATCTAGTAAAGATGAGGTCAAGCGTATTGCCTGCCTTGTGAGTAGGGGGGGATGGTGAGAGAATGAGGTCAAAAGAGGAAAGGAGTGGAAAGAAGGAGGCAGAGAGAAATGAGTCAAAGGCAGACGTAGGGAGGTTAAAGTCACCCAGAACTGTAAGGGGTGAGCCATCCTCAGGAAAGGAACTTATCAAGGTGTCAAGATCATTGATGAACTCTCCAAGGGAACCTGGAGGGCGATAAATGACAAGGATGTTAAGCTTGAATGGGCTAGTGACTGTGACAGCATGGAATTCAAATGAGGAGATAGACAGATGGGTCAGGGGAAAAAGAGAGAATGTCCACTTGGGAGAGATGAAGATTCCTGTGCCACCGCCGCGCTGACCAGATGCTCTCGGGGTATGCAAGAACACATGGTTAGACGAGGAAAGAGCAGTAGGAGTAGCAGTGTTTTCTGTGGTAATCCATGTTTCCGTCAGCGCCAAGAAGTCGAGGGACTGGAAGGTAGCATAGGCTGAGATTAACTCTGCCTTGCTGGCCGCAGAACGGCAGTTCCAGAGGTGCGTGCAGGGACCACCAGATTAGAGTGGCAACAGCCACGTGGTGTGAAGCGTTTGTATGGCCTGTGCAGAGAGGAGAGAACAGGGATAGACAGACACATAGTTGACAGGCTACAATAAAAAAAGGCTATTGTCTGTCTGCATCACCTCATCCCAAACCTGGGTAGTACAGGATCCAGAACTAGGTTAATCATGTGTCCACTCCTCGTTATGTGTTCAAACATGATTCTTCAGTCTGGTCATGCAAATGTTTTGTTTTGAGTATAAATTAAATAGCAGCAAATGGGCTCTACTAGACAACACATAATATGCATGTACACCTATGTGCAAAGACATGGTAATATTACAATGATTTTAATAAACCTACAACCCTTCAAGTGTCCTAATAGGAATCATCTTTCCTAGTTTGCATGGCATGGGCTCCCAGTATCATGTCTAAAAGCTTAGGGCCATTCAGTCTATACAAACCATGTATTCATTTTCACATTCCAAGAAATAAAGAGGGAGTTGCGACATAACCTCATATCAGATACAGTATATTACCCATACACCAATAGATTGCGATCTAATACTCCCTATTACATGATATAAGATCTTGGTTTGGTGAAACACCACACTGTACATAAGGGGTTTAGGGAATTCCTCAACTGTTATTGTGGCCATATCTCTTTCCGGTCATGTCTGCAAAAGACAAGCTGGCTAGCTCAGTCAGCCAGACCCTTTATGAAGAAAAATGTATCTATAATACATTTTCAAGGAGTGATAGAGATGCTGACGGAGTCTGACATTTTTTAAATAAACTGATTCAACATAAGGCTTAAGATATTTGAAAGGGATTGGTGGTAAACAAAAGGAAATCTACATATGAAAGGGTCCTCCCCCTCATCTAATTCTTAGAGCTCTCTGTCTCACTGTTCACCACCAGACAGGAAGAGACCATGGGAAATGTTTGGATGAAATCCATTTGAACTGAGAAAAAGAAAAATGCCACAAAATAATATTCCTTGAGTTGGTGGTTGGCTGTTGGGGACAAATAGCAGTCTCTCTCTCCCTCTTTGATCGCTGATGCTGCTTTTGCCTCATGTATCATTTATGTTCCTTCAAGATACGAGGAAATAAGGCCAGTAGTTTGAATTGTTAAGACTGTTTCAGGTCCCTTTGTTATTGACACATTTTAATCGCCAAACAAGGTGGTGAGTCCTCATCATCATGGCAACGTCTTCAAGTCCCTCTGAGGACCAAGGTGCTGTCTGATCTGACACCTCCATGATGAGAGGTCTCTGGCATCTCCATAACAGTTACAGAGAGTAATAACCTGTGTCATACTTATAGTGCACTGTGAATGGTCTTCTGTAATAGTACTAACATCTGTTTAATAAAGCCCTATGGTTGGGGAGTTATCTGAATACGAAAAAACTAGTGGTTGATAAACAAGTTTTAATGACTCCAACCTAAGTGTATGTAAACTTCCAACTTCAACTGTATGAGCAGAATTACTGTCTTACCTCATTTAGTCACAAAATCCCTATTTTGAAAGCAACTGTTTACTGGAAGCTGTGTGGCACCATTTTCCCGCACGTGGACCAGCCCCCTAGCAATTCGAGTTCTAGCCAATGAGCTTCAGCTC